GACTTTTCTAATGCTTTCCTACGTCTGCAACGCCACAAGCCGGATAAAATTGTATATGTTGAAGCATGGATCCCGTTAGGGGACTAAATTTAAAACCCGCTGGTTTTATTTCATTTCATTTTATTTCTTAGCGCGTGATTTTTATTTTATTATGTTTCCGTGAGTTATTTAATTTTAGGACAGAACTACTTGCACTTCTCCTGTTTATAATCGTACCCGCACCATAGCTTTCTTGTTTTTAAAATTGTCGAAAAGCTAGCTCTTGTACTTCACTTCAAGATTTCTCTAATCATTTCACCTCCTACCAAAACCATAAAACCTTATGTTTGGACTCCTCCATGGATTAATGTCGTTTGTTTAGATTGAACCTTCATCAATAGATGTTGTGATTCCCCGTTACAAATGCATATATTTTATGTTGAATATTAGCTTCACGCGTGAACCAAAGACAACAAATGCAGTATGTTCTACATGTCGTTTTTAAAAATGCTAAAGTTTAATATTCTTTAACATATCATATAGGGGAATCAATCATAAGTGATATTGGGACTTTCTTTAACATATCATTCTGTTGTAAATGCATGGATTTATAGATAGAGCTTATCGTCTCGGATTGGATTGTGATGGAGTTCGAGAGTACTGTTTTAAGTGTTTGGAATACTAATCTCTTTATATTATTAGAGCTTGTTATTAATCTTGGTACTATCAATGCTTATCAATGGAGCAGAGATAGATTGTTTGAAGTAAGGGACATCACATGTTTGATAAATTGCCAAACCTAAAGCCTTTGAAGGTTGGGTTTCGATGGATTTAACCTACTAAAGATGATGAGTAAGTGGGAGGATGACATTAAATTGATTTCCTTACGAGGTCCCAATGCAAGAACATGAAACATGGTCTTTGAATAAGCATTATATATGTTTGTGGGGTGCTTTGATACTTGTTGTTTAAGTAAGTTGATGAAATTAATTGCTCTGAATATAATAAGAGAATCTATTGTTGCATCCTCGGATGGTGGTCATTTTCATGCATCATGCCTCTGCTGCTATAGAAATGAAATTGGGGGTTGGGTTTTAACTAAAAGACAGGAGCTATTCAGCAGCAGCAGCAATAATAATAATAATAATAATAAACCCTTAACTTATGAGAGTGCGATTATAAACGGGTTCTTGTTGGTTTCAATATCCAGGCAGTGCGTGGTAATGCAGTTGAAGTTTTTTTAAAAAAAAGATAATAAATTTTTTAAATAAATTTTTTTATATATTTTTATATTATTTTATGCTAATATCAAAAATAATTTTTAAAAAATAAAAAAAATATTACTTTAATATAATTTCAAAAAAAGTATTCTTTAAATTGCAATCATTATCTTTTAAATAATATTTTAGAGTTATAAATGGTCTACTGTCTAATTGACATCTGATGAGATATAAAAAAAAATTGGGAGTTTTTTTTTTTGGTCCCTTCAATTTTTTCGTGGTGAAAGGCTGAGCGTGGTTTCAGAAGAATAATCTGTGGCCGGCCTCAAACACAAATTGAAAATTTTCGACTTTTCAAGTTCATGTTCAAGCCTGACAGTCTCCTCGTGATCATAATTTAATGATCTATGAATATGAAATATTGCTATAGATTCTTGAAAAAAATCCCTCTTTATGGTACGAAGAACACCTTTAAACCCTCGAATTGTTAAAAATCAATTATACATGCCCGTTTAATTTATGTTAATCACACCTTATATGGTTAAATTGTTGTCCAAGCGACCCAAATCAGTAACGCTGCCAGTTACCACAAACTGAATTAGAAGTTCAGAGCCCTCTTATGGGCCATGATGCCTCTTAAGCAACGATGACTAGACTATTTTGGGCTTCGGCCCCTGCCACTGCCCAAAAAACAGAACAATGACTTCCCCTTATTGACAACTACCAAAAAACCTAAAACTAAAAGATTTGGGGTTTTCTTTACTGTGCACACACTGGAGCATGTTTTTTGTTTTAGTTCTTGTGTTTTTTAAATTCCGTGTTTTATTCGTAAAACTTTATTTTCACTATATTTTAATCTATCATTATTAAGAGAAAAAAAAGAGATGTCGAAGAGGGAGAAGAAAGAGAAAACTATCAACCAATCATATTTCAGTCAATCTTTTAGTCGTTGTGTTTATCTTGAAGCGGAAAATTCAATAAAAATGGTATGAACTTTAAATCATGCCAAAACAATATATAGGAGACCAAAATATATTATTTGATTTGATTTGATTTGATTTGAATTTTTAGATTAATTAGAGTGTTTTTTGAAATTCAAAATAGAGGTTGATAGAGGTTTCTAGGATTTTTTTTGGGGATTTGAATTTTTAGATTAATTAGAGTGTATTTTGAAATTGAAAATAGAGGTTGATAGAGGTTTCTAGGATTTTTTTTGGGTGTTTTTGAGTAAAAATAAGTTAAAATTACAATTTTGAGAGTAAAAACCATTGCACCCTAATTTTTAGGGGTCAGAAAATGTTGTAAGATGACAACACATCATTTAACCCTACGAACAGTACCTTTTTTTTAAGGTCAAGTGCTCGGTCCTAGCTTTCCAAGTCCAGACGCAATAGGCTTGGCCCTCCAAGCCTGAACATGCCTAACTCGTCCTTTTAAGCTCAGGCATGGCTAACCTTGACTCTCTTGGCCCTTCTCTGATATTTTTTATTTAATTGTTTTTTATATTCAAAAATAATTTTTTAAATAAAATAATTACAATTATATTTTAAAAATTATATAATGATACCATAATTTTTAAATAAAATTATATTTTTTAATGATAATATTAGTAATTACTTTATAAATAATTATATATAAGTCTAGCATTCCTAATTTTTTAAAAACATTTCCCAAGACTTGTATTGGAAAGATTATTACAAAGGGGCTGAGATTTTATTAATTTCTTACTTTCAAGTCCAAAGAATATTAATGAAAATGGAATTCATTAGATATTTTTATACAAAATGTAAAAATAAAAAGTTTCTTCAAATAAATTTTATGATTATTCATTTTTTATAAAAACAAATTCCTTAAAAAATACTTATGGGAGACTGATCTAGATTTGCTTAGAGGCTGAACCAATCTAGATTTATTAAAAAAATCAACAGGTATAATGACCCGTCAAAACCCAATCTATCTGGCTGGTCAACCCGTAACCTAGACGAGACCCGGTGTTTTTTTTTTAAATGTGAAATTTGAAATTCATTAGTATATATATTTTAAGTTTCCAAGAAAAAAATTATATTTTTTTAATTTGAAATAAAAAAATATTTTTATTTAAATGTTTCAACTTAAAAGGATAACATAATATTTTTTTAATATAAGATTTGAAACCTGTTAAATATATATACTCTATGTTTCTAAGAAAAAATTTATATTTTATAAATGTAAAATTTGAAAATCATTGGTATAAATACTCCATATACCTAAAAAAAAAATTGTGGAATAAAAATTGTTTTTGGTTTAAACACTTTAACTTAAAAGATTAATATAATATCTTTTTAATGTGAGATAAAAAAATTTAAATATTTTTTAAAATTTTATTATTTATAATATATATATAGCCTATATTTATATGTATTTTTTTAATTTTTTCATATAAAATATTACTATATTTATATGTACTTTTTTAATTTTTTCATATAAAATATTAAAATTTTAATTTAAAAAAATTTTAAATTAACTTCAGTTGACCATAACACTAAAAATTTAGCCCCTTAACTTGGTCAATTTTCAGGCCAAATCCAATAACAATGGTTGGAAGAATAGGAACCGGGTTTACTTGTGGGGTCTGTCATCTCTAGAATTTTGAGATTTATTTTAGTTTGATTCTCAAATGTTTTATTTCCTTCACAATCGTTAAGCATTTGACCCCTTAAAAAATACAATTTTCTCTGTGGTGTTTAAAACCTTAACTAATTTTTCATTTTGAAATCCACCCTAGTTTTTTTTTGTTTTTTTGTTGCACCCCTTTTATATGAAATCATCGCCTCTTGATTTTAAATCCAACAATCTTGTTTTCTATTGAAAGTCGGTTGAGAGTATTTGATCCAGAATACTTCTCGTTCCATTGAAATTAATATGGGTTTGACAAAATTCGTTCATGTAAGACACGGATTCCTGATTTTTTTTTTTTATATGAAATAATTCCTAGGATGTTTATATAGACCACAAATAGGACCATTTCTTAGGGATCGTATGGTTTAAAACTTCCTTTTTAGAACACATATTTAAGTCACCATAAATCATATTATAAGAACATAAGTTCTAGATCCTTTATAATTAAGTTCTATACACGAAGGCCCTATGTGATTTAATTCTCATTCCTAAAATTGAAAAAAAATAGTTTTCTTTGTAATGAAATAAACAAAAAATATATTTATGATACGAGAAGAAAAAAATACAGTGTGTTTTTACTTTTAGGATCTAATCCTAGTGATTTTCATATCAAGACTTCTAGACTTGTATCTTTCGTTTCCAGTGAAAAACAATGCAGAAGCTGCATTATCATCATCATCATCATTTACTTCTTGAGATTATGATGATGATTATATGGCACCAGAAGTTGTTTGGTAACTAAAATCACAAGGTAATTATGCGGTGTGCCAAAATGTTGTTCTTCTCAATCCTTTCTTTTTTATTCTCGACCTTACCAGCTTAAAAATATAAATGCAGCAGGCTGTAGCGTTGTGGTGGAAAAGATTTGTTTTTTTTTATTAGAATTTAAGTTTTATTATGCATGTTTATTATTTTTATGATATTTTATATATTTATTAAGCTTATAGAATATTTAATAAATTTAAAGATTAGTATATGTAAATTAATCCAAACACCCAAATTATTAAAAAAAATATTTATACTAATAGTAATAAGTGAAAAATAATTAAAGAGAAACATCATGGAAGCCTACATCTCTATATTCCTACACAATGAATAGTGCAATCTAAAAGTAAAATGTAAAAATTACATTAAAAAAAAAAAAGAGTAAAGCAATCTCTCCATATATTTATTATATGCACGAATTAAATATCCCTACTGAATTTCTGATCCGAAGATCCTTTCCGGCTACTAGATAAACTTGATTGATCCGAGTTACCCAGTGAAGAAGAGACCCCATTTCCACACTTAGCAACAGTCCTCACACTCTCTATCAACTCCTCAGTCCGTGTCTCTTGTGCCAGTATCTCTGCCAACTGCTCGGGGCATATCACTAGCTTAACCTTCCAAACCCCTGTGCTATTATACCTTGGAAACACCTCAGCTTCCGTCGATGATCGCTTCAACATCCTCTGATTATCAAACGTCGACATCCGATAAGGCGTAAGTTTGGATGATGAAGTAGAAGAAGACAAAGAATTTATGCTGTTGTTGTTTGTATTGTTCAATGAGGTAGTGCTGGTGTTTACAGGGAGAAGGTAGTAGAGTTGGCCGCCGTGGAGTTCTTCATTGTGGAAGAGAGGTTGAGAGAAGAGGTCACGGCTACGGTAGATGGCGTGCCCAGGAAACTCGTTGGTTATGCACTCTGCTGTGATGGGTGAGTACAACTCCATGATACCACCATTTGGTGTCACAACTTTTACCATTTCTTCTACTTCTAAGCTAAATCCTTTGAACACACAATTCCCCATGTATTTATATGTGAGAGATTATTATCAATCTTGCTGTTGTTGATAATGGTGACGATGCTGGAGGAGGAGGAGGAGGAGGAAAGACAATGATATGGGCATATATTGGGTTAATTATGAGGTGGTAATTAAGGAGTTTCTTGAGGGTTTCTTCTCCTGGGCCATGTTTAGCCGACACAAGTATCCTTTGCTTGGTCTGAGCAAATCACCATTCTTAATATGTGATCTCTGTATCATGATGGCCCCACGTTTCCTGATCATGAAGGCTTTGTTCAGGTGCTTTGAGGATCAGGTATCATCCTTGGTTGTTAAATAATGTTGGAAGAAGAACGTACATGATCCGAAGGTCAAAATACTTGAGAGTTTGACTATCATTGTGGAGGGTCGATCTGATCATCATACACACGGTCCAAGGTCAATGACGGCATGAATGTGTCCATGCTTTTTATCAGACTTGCACATAGCTTTTACCATGTGGAGCCCAGAATTAAGCCATGAAAAGAAGAGAGGACTTGTAAATTTAGGAATGGGGTCGGAGGTTTGTCCTGCTCGTAAAGTTCTTTTGTGGATATGTTTGGTATAATTAGCCATCCACCGTGGAACAACCAGCAGTTTCTGTCTTCACGACGAGAAGTACTCGAGAGAATAGGTCAAGGATAAGACGGAGTTTGCTAGGAGAATCTGATTAATAAATATTTGGGAAAAAAGAAAGGTTGCCAATTAATGAATGGAAAGTTTTTTTATTTTTCTGGATCTAGGATTCTTATGTCAATTTTATGCGACCGTGGTAATTTAATTTCAATATAAGTATATAAAAAAAATCAACGAAATACTTTGGACAAATTGGAGGAGCTAGGCACAGTCCTTAATTAAAATTGCGTGTGATTCTCATCGAATAGCATTAAATTTTCCATGCTTATGCAGACACTATTGGATACGGGAAAAATTACAACATCGTGTTATTATAGTTTAGGATAATTTTTAATAGTATTTTTTATTTAAAAATATATTAAAATATTTTTTATGTTAAATATTATTATGTCAAAACAAAAAAAAAATACTAAAAATATTAATTTAACATCTTTTCAATGCAAATATATTTTTAGAATGCTAAAAAACATCGGTCACTTAATTAAGCCTAGAAAAAGCTTATACGAATGATGTGGCAGGTTTAGCGTGCTACAATCTTTCGGTGGCACTCATTGTGCATTGAAGTTTTCTTTTGCAGTTATGATGAAATTACATGTCCTGTAACCGTCCTCATACAAAGGATATTTGGGCCTTGGCAAAAGTTCCACGAGCCGAACTAGCATAAATATAGATGTATGGTCCTCCAGCCTAGCCACGGCCAGCAATTTCTTATTTTTTCTCTTTTTCCTTGTCTTCAAAACTGATATTTTAGAAAACTCAAATTCTTACTTCACGTTTAAGCATCTATCATCTCGTACTGATCATAATTCCTCATATTGTTGAATTAGTGGAAGTTTAATGAGCTAACATTGAAGCTCAGTCGTGACTCGTTAATAATGAGTATATGATCGATGACAATTCTGTAGTTTCCAGAATTAATTTTGTATTGCTGAAGTCGAAGCAGAGTTATAAGAGGTGACCTGATCGTTTGTTTTCTACTACCTTCACAATCCAGAGCTAGCTAGAAATCCTTAACTTTAGTTGTCTCGGGCTAGAGATGAACAGAATCGCTCGCCAGCTAGGTCAGATTGGAGCAACATATAAGAGGTGACCTGATCGTTTGTTTTCTGCTAACTTCACAATCCAGAGCTAGCTAGAACTCCTTAACTTTAGTTGTATCGGGCTAGAGATGAACAGAATTATCCAGCAATTATAAACTCAAAAACTTACGCTAGCTTCTATATGACCTCGCCATGACAAAAAAGAAAAAGAAAACACTTTATTATGATAAATTTGCTCGATATTTCAGTTTAAGTGGGCATGGAATGATGTGATAATCATCCATTCACTTGATAACGGTAGGTAGGATACGTTGGAAGATGAAGTTTAGGTGCGAAGATTACTCAAATTTTGAAGTTGGATGTTAATATATATATATATATATCTATTGCATGGGCCTGCTTCAATAATCATCACCTTTCTCAATTGCCGAACAGTTGCAGTTGCACCGGTGTCAATCATCGGCACCTTATAACAGCGAATTTGAACACATTTTAATGTTTTTCAACTTTGATTTGGCTTTTGTAATGATACTTGGCACTAGAATATGTGACAACTGTACTACTTTGGCCGATGACTCCTGTCTACCACCGAATGGTTGCCATAGGATTGCTTTTTATGTCAGATATTTGAGAGGTTCTAGAAGAGTCTTGATGCAATTCTTTGCTTGAAGGTCAACAATTAAACTTAGATTATGCTTATCATAGGGATGGGATAAACGGTAGGATGAATGATTTTTATCTTAACAAGAAAAGAAAGGGATGAGAGTAATTATTTCATTTAAATCTTAATTAAAAATATTAAAAATTACAAAGAAATGAAAGAATACGAGTCAATCTATTTAAAATGGAATAATTGAAAATTATAAATGAGAAGGGCTTGGAGGAATTCCTCTAATCCCTACTTGAATCCTTGTTCCTTTTATAAAACGAAAGATAAACTTGATTCCTTCCCTCTTATTCGACCTTCCCTTGACCCTTTTAGTAGCTTCACTATCAAGAAAATGGAAGGATAAGAGTTAATCCATCTAAATCGAAAGCATTGAAAATTACAAAAAGTTAAAAAGGTATGAATCACTCCATCAAAATTGGAATAATTGAAGACTCTAAATGAGAAGGGAGGAGGGATTCCTCTAAACCCTTCTTGAATCCTTATTCTTCTTACTAAACAAAGAATATACTTAATCCATTTCTTTTTATCTATCTTTCTCTTCATTCCTCCTAATAAATAAAATGCAAATATCATCTGTTAATCAATTATAACTCAATTAGTATTTGTATGAAACTCGAACTCCTCTAGGAAATTTTGAATTCAAATAATTAAAACAACACTTGGATGTCATTTAAGAGTTTTCTTTTTCTTTTTTCTATCTTTTTGAGACTTTTGTACCAGCTAATTATATATATATATATAGACACACACGTATCTTTTATAAAGTTTTTAACTACTGGGACTGTCCACATGAGGAGTCCCATACTATAAACCTTTCCTATAAATCCCATAAACCTTTCTTTATGAAATTAATTTTAACTCCATCATATTTTCAGCTCAATGGAAAGCATGAAATTAACTAACGCTTTAACTAGCATGACAGCAAATACAATCACGTTTTGCACTCAAAACTAAAAAAATGAAGCATGCCGCAACTTGTTGACACTTCGAATTCGTGACTATTACAGCAGCCAGCATGGTCCCGGTTTTTGTATTGGAGTTTGGACTGCATTAATTCTGACCACGAAGTCATCGAATTGATGCAGCGAGTTCTGAGGGAATCTACCGGAAAATAGATTATAAGAAAATTGAAACAATTGCTAGTACAAGGGGGGGGGGGAATGGTTGGTGAGCGAATATAACTATGAACCCAATACAATTTCATATAGCAAGTGAAAACTTAAAAAAATAAAAAATAAACCCCAATAGATAGGTTCGAAGAGGCCTTATACATTGAAAGAAAAAATAGATTAATTACTCAAATGACACATTAAAGGGCCGTAATTTTCGATGTCATATTTTTAATCTTATAATTACTCAAATGACACATTAAAGGGCCGATGTCATATTTTTAATCTTAATTATAAAATAAACCCAACAATCCAATCACTCGATTCAAAAATTAAAGATTTCTAAAGAGCATACAACAGGCAATCTTTCGAGAACCACGTTTAGCATAACAATTTCCATTTCGAAGAACCGTGGTTAACGTATATTTTAGATCAAATACAAGCCATAGTCATAATATGCAACAGTATCATCTAGCATCAACTTATATTGAAATTAGGATATCAGAGTAATTAAAATAGCTCACTAAAACAAATTGTCTTAAACATTAAACATGTTACTAGTGCACCAAAAAAATCATTAAACATGTTCTTTAATTATGTGACCATGTAACAAATTAGTCGCTAATAATATAGATTAATGGTATATTGATGCCTCTTTGATTAATAAATCAAAATTCATTCATTTGATTTTATGATTAAGTTCCTTCCTTCGTTTTTAATGGTTTATAGCTAAGATTTGTATAATAAATGTTGGATTACAAGTGATAGTATTTTTCACTAAAAAACCATCTTTCGTAATTATTGCTTGATTTATTATCTTTATAATTGTTATATTTTATATCTGTATTTGTGCATAAAAAGATTGATTTTGATTAAAAATTGGATATACCAATTCCTTGTGTAGGGTGTCCTACTATTCTAAGCCAGATAAAATTATAAATAAAGTAAAAGTATTAGATTGTAGACTTTAAATCAATTAAAAAGTTCATTAAAAATAATTAAAGTAAAAATCTGATTTCATTTTTATCCTGCTCATATTTGTGGGGCATGCTTTAAAATTAAAAAAGAAAATTTCCCTATCTCCTATACCTTCAATTAATTCAATGAATTAATTGTTACTTTGACCTCCAGATTTCTTCCGATTGTATTCAATGCATAATTAAAGGGTGAGTTGTCTTTTTGGTTTTTTTCCTTTTCCACAAACCTCCATAGGCAACAGACCCCTTCTTTTCTTCTTCTTCTTCTTTTTTAATTGTGACCGATTCCTCAAATTTAATAAGGTATTGGACAAATGCAAAATATGCATTACCTGTTTTTTTTTAAAAAAAACCGATTCCTCAAATTTAATAAGGTATTGATTTTATTTTTTTCTTGTTGGACAAGTGTAAAATATGCATTACCTGTTTTTTATTTAAAAATAAATAAAAGAACGCATCTTTTATAAAAAAAAAAAAAACATAAACAAATATGTCCCAGATTTAAAGCTTTGTTATGGTGGGTCACTCAAGTAAACACGTCTAGCTTTTTTGTTATTTTTAATGTTTAATATTAAGATTTTAATAAATTTTTATTGGTTTTATAATTTATTATTCAATAATAAATTAATTTTAAATTAATTTTTATTTTTATCATATAATTAAATTAAAAAAATATTATTAAGTTTAATAAGTTAACTCCTACTAATATAAATTAATTCATTACATCCCCATCTTAATATTTATTAAAAAATATGTCATGTTCAATTTTTTTTAAAGTCTTTTTTATTGGTTACACAAGTGATTTTGTATTCATGTGCTTTATTTTTTGTTTT